CCTTCACACAACCATCCTTGTTGCTGCATCCTGAAGGGACTTTATCCAAAAGGATCTCAAGAGTAGCTGACAGGTACAGAGAAGCCAACAGCCTTCCCGTCTCCTTTTATTCCTGGGTGAAAGCCATCCTTCCCGTCAGGCAGCAAGCGAGTTTCCTTTCTGGGTACCAGGTGAAAGGATAGCAGCTCCAGTGGCTCTTAGTAGGGTTTCCTGCCTAAGCAGGGGGTTGGACTAGAAGACCTCCAAAGTTCCTTCCAACTCTGTTATTCCATAACTCTATAATCTTCCATACGACTCATTCATCATAAAAGGGTTACAAGCCATGACCCCTGTATTAAAGTGGCCTGAAAATGAACCCAAAACTTGCATAACTCGACAGATGGGCGGAGACAGTCCAGTCCCACCGTTTGCATCCGCCACTAAAAAACACACTATTACCCTAAAGGAAGCAACTGTGCGATTTCTTAGTACGCTGTTTCTTTAGACAGAAATGTCTCCAACTGGATACAACTGGTGGTGCAACTCACACCTGCATAATCAGAGGTCTTCCGCGCTTGGGCTGCCTCTAAATCCCCAAAGAATCCGTTATCGGCCGTTCTCCAAAACTATGTATTTATTCTGCTGATGTCAGCAATCAACAAGGCAGCCACCGACATTACAAGCAGCCCTTCAGCAGGACGCGCCCAAAGCAGCTGCCAGAGTTCACCTGTCTCACGCACAGCCTGTTCGCTCCCACAATGGCTCCCGTCCTCTCCTTCTGGGAAGGCCTGGGTCTCGTCTGCGCTCGTTCTCTTCGGTTTTCCTTGCTTTCGCATCCTGGCTGTCCGTCCCCGCATGTCTCCCCGCTGCTGTATACATTTTCATTCCAAAAAAAAAGCCAGATCATCTGTACCCACCATCGTTGCAGTGGGAGCGAAACATCCTCAGAAGCCTCTGAAGGACAGCTCTGCTGCAGATCGCAGGAGGAGAGAGGAGTGGCCTCTGCGCCTGTAACGTATCACATTCCCAATATTATTAACAGCACCAGAAAGCGGAAAGCCTCTGAATTTCAAACCTACTTCACATGACTTCCTCTCCTGGAAACGCAGAAACGAAACCTGCAATCAGGGCTGCTGGGTAGGCCCCGGCACTCTGCTAAACACTGACCCACCGGGTGCCAGCAGCATAGGACTGCACCAGCCAAGGGTGGGGGGAGCAGGCACCTTCGCTGGGCTTCCAGCTGCCACCCAAAAGGAAAGCACTTTTTGTGTCCTGATGTGTGCCACAGCAAACCACCAAGGGGAAACGCTTACCCACCCTCCATTCCCCCGCTGCTTCCTGTCCTTCTTCCTGTCTTCCCTTGGCCACAGAAAGCACCTGGGAAGCAAAAAATGGAGATGGACGAGAGAAAGGCATTTCTGCAGGGTCACTCAAGTACTCCGCTCCAGAAGCTCTGGAAAATCAATCTCTTGTCTCCATTGAACACAACTCTCCCTCGGTGGCCATAGGGAATCAACTCAGCGACACCCCAGCTCTTGCCCAATTCATTCCCATCGCTTACTGGGTTTAGTTCTTCACACAACGTATCGCCTGCCTGGTTCAGTGAAGCTTGTCGTGCAAAGAGAACCTTGGCAAATTAATCGATCAGAAAGTTAAGATGGAAACAGATAAGTGGAATTCAGAAACAGGGCACATCCAATCAATTGCCACAGCCCAGGACTCCACGCTAAGGGGGCACACCCTTAAGCTAGTCCTTGCCTTGACGGAAGATTCAACTTGACTAGTCCAAAGTCTTCACTGTGGACAGGGAGGAAGCCTCAACTGCCTTTACTGCAGCGCAAAGCAGCAGTGCCTTTTAATACAGGTTGATGCTGCAAAGTTCAAACTCCCTGCTTTTTCTTCTCTGTTCACCACTGGCGTCGTTACCAGTTTCACCTCTCATGCCCAAAGGCAAAGGCAGAAATAGATGTCAAGTTGCAATGCTGTGCTTATGTTTTCAGCAGCAATTCCAGGCTTCATGCTCTTCTTAACTGACCTAATGAAGATTTTGAACAAGTGAGACATCGCTGTGCTTCTACAAGCCCAGTTACTCCTTATGACATATGCAAGAAAAGCACAGTGGAACCACAAATCTATGCTAAGCAGGAGTAAGAATCAAAAGGCGCCTGGAAACACCTTTTCCAACAACTCCGAGCTGCCTATTTGCTGAGATGGGCATCTAAAGAAGTCATATATGTATATATATCTGGTTTCTATAGCTGCCCATCTCATATATACGTATATGAATGAATGAAAGAATAAATGAAATTAAACAAATAACATGTGAGCTACCCAGAGTCATTTGCTGAGATGGGCAGCTATAGAAATCAAGCAAACAAATATAAAATGTGTTTTATGTATGGGGAAAGGTTCTTTGTCAGTGATGGTTTATTTGATCACAGCTAGACTGGGAAACTAGACTAGATAGCTAGACTGATGAAGAATTCAAACTGGGGAGAGATTGAAAAGGAGGGGAAGGCAGATTGGTTATGCAGAGACAGGTCCTTATCAATCACAAATACCCTCATCTGACGAAGCTCAGAGAAGCTTATGCCTTTTGGTAAAATACATTAGTCAGAAAGGATACTACTGAACTCCTGATTTTTGCCATCATATACTAACACAGCTCGTTTGCTACAATGCCCATGTGTGACTATCTGCCATCTTTCCAAGCCATACTAGCTTCAAATTCACTGATGCTGGAAAGTATACATTTAATCCTTATTACAAAAATACATAACACAGCGAAACCACTTTCAAATCCCAGAAGCCAACAAAGCCCTGGAGCACAGAAGCATTTCCTTCTAGCCTTAAAATGCATTTTCATAAAACCCAAGAGAGTTAAACAGGGAAATTCCAGCAAAAATAAAATAAATAAATCCACAGGCATATGTGCCCACTGTCATTCTTTGCAAGCTACCCTGAACTAATTTTATTTATGGCAGCCATGCTTAAAATGGGTGCCAACCTACACAGTACTTTTGTAGAAAAAAAAAAAAAGATTATGGATTAAAAGATACAATTTCAATCTGTACTACATTAAAGACTGAACTGTTCGATGAATGTAAAATCAAGGGAGGATGAAACATATTGTCCTCAGTTGAATTTCAGCCAAGCAGGAAAACAGATCTGGAGACTTTAAGAGCGTCTGTCATGCCTACCTTATCAGAAGTAGATAAGCCACAAAATGCCCTAAAAAGAAATGTGGCATTCAAGTAACTCACTATTACGGCGGGCCATACAATCAAGAGAAAAAACGATTTTATTATGAGTGACCTGGCTGACAAAGCAAAAAAACCCACCACTTCTGGCAATCCATCAAGCCTCGGGCACCAATCTAAATTCACAGAACATTCCCAAAACCAAAACAGTCCTTTCCCTCCCCACTGCATCCCACACCTTCTACGCACAACAGACCAGGATGGAGTGACCACGTTTCAAACAGGGTTCCCAACACTCCCAATTCCATACCCTTCTTTCTTACACACATATTCAGAGATCCTAACCTCGTAAACCCCCAGCCAAGCAGCCAATGCACAATTTATTTATTTTTTCCTAAGGGTGACCACTTTGGACGCGCCCCCACCTCACCAGAAACAACCCTCCCGCTAAGCAGTGCTGGAGACCTATTTCACCTTAAGTTACGTGACCTTTGCAAATCTCCCACTCCCCTTTTATAGCAATCTACCTATTCAAAGTCACCTCCCCAACAAAGCCATTTTAATTACACCAGGTGCATGAAAAACATGCCTGTCCTAATTCAGAAAATGAAGGAGGGTTTTGCCAGCAAGACGTTCCTATCCCGTCAATGAAAAAAAAAAGTTGGCTCTCTTGTCACCCAGATGTCAGATTCAACTCCGAGAGAGAGAGATCTTTTGTAAAGACAATACCGGTCAGAGAAAGGCAGGGTCATCTTCAGGGTTAGCTGGGCACACAGCATCCCGCACGGAATCGGATGCCAGTTCTTTCCCACCACCATCACCGGCACCACCACTTCCGGTCGTGAATCCAGCATGACATTCCCCCCCCCTCACCCTCACCCCACATCCTCTGGTACCAATCCAGGGTAAGGGATACGCCGCCCCTCCAAACATCCTTTTCCTTTGGACCAGGCACTAAAAAGTCTCTCTCTCTCTGTCTTCCTCCCCTTCTGCAAATTGCAGGGACGGAGCTTCCTCTCTCTCCCGCCCCCCCCTTTTTCCCAAAGCGAAAGAGAAAGCGGGGCGGGGTACGGGCAAAGGTCCGTTTCGGGGAAAAAGGAAGGGAAAGGCAGAAAAGAAGCCGGGCGAAAGTCACACCCTTCTGAGCCACCGGGTCCCTTCACCCATCCCGGAGAGAAGGCAGAGTTTCAAATCCTGCTTTCTGGAGGGGGAAGCCGGGTACCCTGGCAGCCTTGCCCTGCAAAGTGCCGGCGGCCTTCTTCGCCCGGAAAGAGGCAGCTGCCTCCCGCTGGGGGCCCTTTCCTTCCTTCCTTCCCTCCTTTCCCCTCCAATCTTCCTTCTACTTTCAGTCTTTTTCCCCTCCTTCCTTTCCTCCTTCCTTCCTTCCCCCTAATCTTTCTTCTACTTTCAGTTTTTTCCCCCTCCTTCCTTCCTTCCTTCCTTCCTTCCTTCCTTCTCCCTCAACCTTCCTTCTCCTTTCAGTCTTTTCCCCTTCCTTCCTTCCCCCTCAATCTTCCTTCTACTTTCAGTCTTTTCCCCCTCCTTCCTTCCTTCCCCCTAATCTTTCTTCTCCTACTTTCAGTCTTTTTCCCCCTCCTTCCTTCCTCCCTTCTCAATCTTCCTTCTCCTTTCAGTCTTTTCCCCCCTCCTTCCTTCCTTCTTTCTCCCTCAACCTTCCTTCTCCTTTCAGTCTTTTCCCCTTCCTTCCTTCTTTCCTCCTTCCTCCCTTCTCAATCTTCCTTCTCCTACTTTCAGTCTTTTCCCCCCTCCTTCCTTCCTTCCTGCAACCGCAGCCCCTTCGGGCCCCGTGGCCAAGGATACTGTTGGGGCGGCGGGGCCTGCAGAGCCCTGATGCCGGCGGGGTGAGGCGGCGGTGGCACCGCAGCGGCGGCGGCAGCAGCAGGAGGGGTCCCGGCCACTGCCACGGCGGCGGCTGCTGCTGCTGCTGCCGGCGGCGGAACCGGAGCAGCGGCAGGAGGCGCCCCGCTGGCCGCCGCCGCCGGGGAAGGGGATGCTCCGGCCGTCGCTCCCGCCGCCGCCGCCGCCGCCACCGGAGGAAGAGGCGGCGGAGGCGGAGGCGGCCCGGCTCCCACGCCGCCGCTCCCTGGGGAGGGCGCCGTTCCCGCCGCCGCCGCCGCTCCCCCCGCTGCCGCCGCCGCCGCCGCCGCGCCGGGCTTGAGGGCCGCCTTCTGCGGTAAACTCATGGCCAAGCGGAGCCACCACCAGGCCGGGGGCGGCGGCGGCGGCGGGGCGGCGGCGGGGGGCGGGGAGCGGCGGGGCGGGGGCGGGGGCAGCCCGGCGGGCCAGCACCCCCGGCCGGTCTCCGTGACAACGCGGCCGGCCTCCTCCTCCTCCTCCTCCTCTCCTCCTCCTCCTCCTCTCCCGCCGCCTCCTCCTCCTCCTCAGGCCGGGGCGAGCGGGGGCCGGTCAGGCCGCGCCGCCGCTCATGGGGGCCGCCTCCGCCGGCGGCTCTCGGCTCCTTGTGGCCGGGCGAAGCGGCTCCGCGGCGTCTAGCGGCGGTCGGGTGAGCGATGCCGGCGGATTCTCCTCACGGACGGAGCGGAATATCCAACATGGCGCTGGCGGCCGCCTCCAGCAGTCCGGCAGGACGACGGCGGCGGCAGCGGCGGCGACGACGTCGGGCGTTCGGACGCTCGGGCAGCTCCGGAGACGTTCGGCTCCGGCTTTCGGAAGGGCCCGCCGGCGCCTGCGCGAGAACGTTCGGCTCAGGGCGACGTTCGGCCGGGCTCGGAAACGCTCGGCGGCCGTGCCCGAGCCGGCTTCGTGGGGGAATCGCTTAGCCCCTTTCCGCGGGATTGCGATACGGGTTTAATGAAGATCGTCGGAATGCGAGCCAGTAAACGCGCAATGCCTCACGCTTCGACACGTGGGAGTGCCTGCACAAGGGTTCAAATATGTTTGCGTGCCAATGAATGAATGAATGAATGAATGGAGGTGGACCTCTGGAGTGGTTCACGGGAGCCCATTCCCACGTAGTGTTTCTTTGTGATTTTATTTCCCTTCCAGCAGGGATCTTCCAACTTGGCAAGTTTACGACTTGTGGACTTCAACTCCCAGAATTCCTCCTCCAGTCATGTTAGCTCAAGGATTAGGGCAGGTGTCAGCAATCGTGGCTCTGGAGCCCCATGCAGCTCTTTGGGCCCTCTGCTGTGGCTCCCTGTTGGGTGATCCTACCACTGGCTGGGCCCACCCCAGTCACTCTTTGAAGGTAAAACACAAAAAAACAGAAATGGGGAGGAGGGAGGGAGGAGAGAGAGAAACCCAACCTGGGTAGGTGGGCTGTTTTTTTTCATGTGACTGGGTGGGAGTGATGTTGAGCTGGCCACGCCCACCCAGGTTTTGTGGCTCCTGGTGTTTTGTTTTCTGTGGGAAAGGGGTCCAAATGGCTCTTTTTGAGTGTTTAAGGTTGCAGACCCCCCCCCTGCCTTAGAGGAACACAAGAAAACGAGCCCCTTGGCGTCCCTGAGACTGGGCCGGATTTTCCATTACGAATGTGCCAGGCAGCCACTCCCTTGGGTCAACTTCTAAGCAAGGGGCTCCTCGCCCCCCCAGCACTGCCCAGAGCCAATCCTCTGCTCGAGGCCAGGATGAATGACCTTCTCGGGCCCCTTTTCCTTTGCAGAAGGGAAAATAGTCTTAAAGCTGCTCAGATTCACCGTTGGTTTTTTTTTGCCAAAACCAAAGCCACCTCTTTTGTTTTATAAATGTGTGTTGAACAAACAGGATCTACAATTTATATATCTGTGTGTGTTGTTGTTTTTTAAGTTTTTGCGGGTATTTATATGTATGGTATTCAGCTTTGTTTCGGGTATTTTCCCACGTCATTATAGTTGTGCTTTTAACGTTGTAGCAACGTTTCGGCAGAATCTCATCTGCTGTCATCAGGCTTCTGTTGAACACAATACAGAAGCCTGATGATGGCAGATGAGATTCTGCCAAAACGTTGCTACAACTTTAAAAGCACAACTATAATGATGTGGGAACAAAGATGAATACCATACACACATAAACACACACACACACACAGGAAGGAGTAGTATGATAGCCTAGAGGTGGATCTCTCACTTCACAATCAGGAGGCTGTGAGTTCAATTCTAGGTAGAGGCTGATATTTCATTCTCCGGGCACAGTGAGAATGTGTCTGCTGAATATATTTCCACACTGGCGACAGGAAAAGCATCCAGGCAGTAAACACTCAGCGCCATTCAATTGCCCAGACTCCACCCCGAAAGAGATTATGGGGTCGTTAAATGATGATGATATATTTTTAAGGAAAAACAAACTCTGGGTAGTTTTCTGTCACCTTATACCCCCGGGCCTGCCTTTTCAATCCTCCACAGGGATTGGACTTCCACTCCCATAATCCCCAGCCACGCAGGTAATCGATTCACAGGCTCCTGCTGGGCATTGCCCAGTTGGCCTCGTCTCGGTCTTTTCTTGCAAGGATTTGGCTCTCTGGAAAACAGGCAGATGCCATCCTTTACAGGAGGAAGGGGAAGTGTTTTCGTAGTAGTGTCAGGATTCCAGCCATCGCCCTAATTGAATCCTGATTCTCGAGCCAAACTTCAAAAAACTTTCAAAGGATTCATTAGAGGCGACATCCTGGCCCTGCCCTGTATGAAGCCAACTCTGGCCTACGTCATTTACAGTCCCCTGTGACCTTGTTTTCCCTCCTCCCTCCTGGGTGTGTCACAAACCAGATTCTCCAATTGAGCACGTTCATCATTCACGTTCCCCAATTAAACATATTCCCAGGCAAAAGCAAAAGCTCCAGTATTTTAGCTACAATCTTTTAAAGAGAAGAGTTGGAATGTGCTTCCGCTTCCAAACTGCTGCACGGCTTTTCCTTCCTTCCTTCCTCCCTCCTTTTTTTTTAATGGTAACTACTAAAACAGGCATAGGGATGTTTTACGAGTTGACAGGCGCCGGCTGCATCAAAGGGACATTTTCTGTTCTGACCAGCGTCCAGCGAATTAAACAACTTGTCTTTGAATGGGGCCTTGGGCCTGTCTTTGTTGGACTGAACAAGAAACCAGGAGAAGCATTTGAAGAAGTTTTAAATTAAGAAAAACACACACACACACACACACACGCACACACACACACAAAGCAGGGACCCCAATCGTTTCAAACCGTGGTAAAAAGGCGTTTATTTCCAAACTAACAGTCCTTTCTAAAGGCAGGAAGAGTTTAAAAAAGAACGAATTGGCCGAGCAGAAGATCCATTCAGAGTTGGGGGGGGCAGTGCAGATTCCTTGCAGATCCATTTTTTTTTTCTCCTCTATCTCAGAAGGATCAATTCGCTGCACCTCAAGAGAATTTATGGAGAGGCGAAAGGGGAGGGGGGGACATTCCTTTCCTAGGGCCACGGGGGGCAGAAGAGCCGTCTTGGCAAAACACCCCCCCACACCACCAATTCCATCCCTTCAAACCACAAGGGCACATCTGGAATCCATTGGCAGCCTTCCCGGGGATCCGGTTACCGAAAGCGGATTGCACATCTGGATATCATTTTGGCTTCGTGCAGGAGGAACAACGGTGGAAAAACCCCACATATTCCCACCGGAGGGACCCTAAAATCATCGGCTTTCCCACTCCAGCCGCAAAAAACAAAACCTGACAGCAACAACCCTCCCCCTGGGGAGGGAAGGCAAGAACCATCCAGAACCAACGTTCTCCTCACTTGATTGGACGTCACGACGGAGCTACACGGGGGGCCCAGCTCTTGGGGAAAGGCTGACCGGAAGAGATCTCCGGATCCCTGGTGAAACAACTTCAGGGGCGCTGAACGAATCACCCCGTAAGTAGTTTGAGGAGTCTTTAATTGCCAGGTTCTGCATAGAAGCGGTCAAAGCTTTGGCCAAGGAGACCTGGTGGCAGGAAAGCTTCGCCGGCATTAAAACGGGGCAGAGAGCTCCTGTTACGACTTCACACCCACCCCTCCTTGACATCAGGAGATTAAACAAAACTTCTCAGGGTAACCCCACTCCCCCTCTTCTGCCAAGGAGCCCAGAACGAGAGGCTTCGCCCGGTGCCTGCTTTTTGACAACCTCTTCCTGTGCCCAAGGAGCCCAGAGCCCCCCTCCTAACTCAGCCCAGGCAACCCTGGGGCTGAGGGACCCCGCTTTTGGATGGGGAGGGGCAGCCTCAGTGTGGCCCCTCATTAACTCTCATCCCTTCTCTTTAATTCGAAACAGAAATGCTCAACGGAGAGAACAGGTCAGTTTCTGAGGACACAACCTCACGCCCGACACCAAATGCCTGGCGAGGGACCCTGGGCAGATCCCGGGCCCTGAAACCAGAAGGGCGTCTCACCAACTCGGAGAGACCCCGGCCCTATTTCCCCCACCAAGGGTGGAGGAATACGCATCGACTAAAAAAAAAAAAAAAGGCTTTTCCCTATCTGTTCATTTGGAAAAGAGAGAGAGAGAGAGAGTCGAGACCAAGATAATCCTAACATTTTAAACATTCCATACCTTTCCCCGCCCCCAACCTCTCCAAATCGTTTTTTTTCTCCAGTGTTCCGCAAGGTTGTAAAAACAATGTCTTTATTTAAAAAAAAAAGAAGAAGATTGTGTGCGTCCCCCGGTATCCGTTAACGCAAAAAACGGGGAGCGCTTCTCCCCTTTGGAAAAGTGGCAAGCGATTGGAAAGTTGGCTCAGGAAAGGAAGCATCAGTGCACCGACGAAGCTTCGCCTCCGTCCACGGGAGAGGCGGTGGAAAGGTTTCTGTGTGGTGAGTGGGCGCCACGCAAAGGGGGTCTGTCTGGAGTCCCTTTGCAAGCGAAGAGCGCGGGGAGGTTTTTGTTTCTCCAGGGAGCCCCGAAAGGGGCAGCCTCCCGTTTGTCCTTTAACACGGAGGAAGTGGCATACTAAGCGGTCCTGTGTGGGCACCCTGTTTGGGAGTAGTTTTTTTTTTTTTTTTTTGGTCTTCCTCCTGCGGGGAGAAAACTCACCAAACTTCACATTTCTGCAGGGGGTTCATAGGCGAACCGGGCCTGCACTGGAAGTGCTTGGCGAAGGCCCTGGAGTTGGAGACCGTCCCGATGACCCG